GCCCACATCCCTGCTTTGGGGAAACGCATCCTCTCTAGCCTGAAACGATGCTTTCCTCTTTTTTGTGTGCGCTCACAGGGTGGTGCTCGTGGAGAGCCTGCCAGCCAATCTCCATTTGAAATCACCAAATCCGAGCATCTACCAGGCCTGGGTGGACCTTCTGGCTGAAGCCCACAGCAGCGTGGAGATCGCCGCTTTCTACTTTACTCTACGAGACTCGGATATCCACGTGCAGGATCCGTCCTCACAGCAGGTCAGAGGTTCATTTCGGGATGCAGCAGCTGCGCATGGATCTGATGGAGGACTCTCCTCCCCCCCACCGCCTTCAAAATCCTAAATATGGCTCTTATTCTCACAGAGACAGTGAGAACGCTGTTGTAGTGGCATGCGCCACGGATTAGGTTGTGGCAGAAACTACTTACTAGACAGTGGTGTGTGCAGCGTGCACGAGGGTGGCCACGTGACACTGTGCAACTTTGCACTCTTCCCAGGAAAAGAGCCTTCTGGATCTTATTGGCACTTAAGACCTCATGATTCACCAGCACTAAACCTTGTGTAGAGAGCTGGCGCAGTGTCACTGCGAACTGTCTATGTGTGTGTTTTGTGCTGTCAAGCCAAAACCAGCTTATAGCTGCCCTAATAGGGCTTTTGAGGTAATTGAGATACTTTAGGAGTGGTTTTGCCAGTTCCACACACCCCCAGTGAGTTTATGTGGCTGAGTGGGGATTCGAACCCAGGCCTCCCGAGTCCTAATCTGTCACCCTATCCACTACACCACACTGGAAATTAGTAGCTGTTTATTTTGATTTATATAGAGATGCAACCCCTCCTTCTCTCTCAGGAAAGACTTTGGCCACATCATCCATGCGTGCGTTGCTCAGTCTGTGCTATCTCGTTCTTGTTTGGCTATACGGTAGGACCACAGTATCCACGAGGGATCGATTCCAATCTCCCACCCAGCCGTGGATGACCCTAATTGCAGATATACAAACCTGAGAGAGAGAGAGAGAGAGAGAGAGAGAAATAGTCTCTGGTTCCCCCTAGTGGCCAGTTCTGTTAATACACCTTGGAAAATTGTATTTCTGGGTTTTAAAATTTTATTTAATATTCCCAGGCAACTGATAACTGAAACCGTAGGTACTGATCCTGTGGATACGGCTGTCCTACTAAACTGTTATGTGCTTTAATGCTTAATATCGTTGTCTTTTTTATTCAGGGTAAGGCGGTGTTTGAGGCCCTGCGGGGCCTTCCCGCTCGTGGGGTGAAGCTCAGCATCGCCGTGAACAGCCCCCAGTTGTCGGAGAACGATACAGACGACCTGGCCCGTCACGGTAATCTGCCTGGCTGCTATCCTTGATTCCGGGCGTCCCAGATCCCTTTCCACTCCCGTCTGTTCCCTGCAGGACTCTTTGAACATGAGAAAGGGCATCATCCACGACAGCTGGATGAAGAGCAGAGAGCCCTGTGCTACTACTATTAAGACAAAGAAGTTGTGTTCAGCAGGTGTTTTTGTACACATGACTCACTGCTCCAGAAGCTGTTCGGCTGCTGGCGTGTGTCTCCAAGTATTTGGAGTTTTATTTGGCACATGTGGTTATAGATGTGGGCATGATGCTTTCACAAGACTCTTGATCGTCTTACAGCAGAAGGCTCAGGGTCTAATTAGACAGCAATAAAGGACGGTGTCTGATCACACCAGAAAGGGTCTCCCTTAAAGCAACGTTCTGTACATCAAGAACTCTTCTGGCCTAACTCTGGACTAGCTTGGGTACCGAGCTGGGGGAAGGCAGGTTCACGACCTCCGGTCGGTCTTCGGATTGCTGCCATCGAGACTGCGCCTCAAGTAGACCAAACCCAGGGAGCTACCCAGCCAGGCTGAATCAAATAATAATCATCATAGCCATGTATCACCCACTTGATGCTTTCCAGGGTTTTCTAGGTAGAGAATATTCAGAAGTGGTTTACCCTTTCCTTCCTTTAGGGGGAGCCTTGGGACTGTGCAGCTTGCCCAAGGCTACCCAGGCTGGCTCTATGCGCAGAAGGCACAGTAGGGGAATTAAACTCCCAACCTCTGGCTCTAGAGTCAGATACCTAAACCAGGCAGCCCTAAATTATTGGGAGAGAGGCAGATGATCATCATCATGTGCTGCCATGTCAGTTACGACTTATGGTGACCCTTTTTCAGGGTTTTCCAGGAAGAGAATACTCAGAATTCCCCTTCCTTTCTTTCTGGGATTAGGCAGCTGGCCTAAGGCCACCCAGGATGGCTCTTATCCCTGGAGGCACCGCGAGGGAATCGAACTCCAGACCTCTGGCTCTGTAGCCAGGTGCCCAACTTACTGAGCTATCCAGCCGGCTATGAACCCAATAAAGTACTACACAAATGCATTCTTACAGCGACGGCTTCTATTGTGATTGGTAGCAATTATAGCTTAAAACTGATGCAAAACATGGCGTTAGTATTAGATACTGCATATGCCTCGTTCACTCTTGACACACTTCTCCGCAGGTGCAGAAGTGAGGTACGTCAACATGAAGCGCCTGACCGGAGGGGTTGTGCACACCAAGTTTTGGGTCGTGGATCACCAGCATGTCTACATTGGCAGCGCCAACATGGACTGGCGATCCCTCACTCAGGTAATTCCAGGCCGGGAGGAGGGGGAGGCCACAGTCCTTTCGTTGATCGGGTTCACCCGGTCGGTTTCCTGGTCAACGGGGACTCAAGGATGCGGGGCCTCCTCTGCTGATGGATTTGGGCGAGGTGGGCCGCAGGAGGTTGACCAGTGCCAGGAGGGCTGAGGGCAGACATTGCCGATTTAATTCATGGCTTTAATTGTTTTATGAATCATTTCATTGTGAGCCGCCCTGAGTAGACATAGTCTAGAAGGGCGGGATAAAAAAAATCTAATAAATAAATAAATAATTTTTCAATTTGGTTGTTCTGGGTTTTTTCGGGCTCTTTGGCCATGTTCTGAAAGTTATTCTTCCTGACGTTTCGCCAGTCTCTGTGGCCGGCATCTTCAGAGGACAACAACCTGTGCTCTGGTGTAGTTGGCTTGGGAGTGCAGTATTTATGGCTGTGAGATGGGCTTTTGTCTTTTTCTGTAGATGGGTGATTAGTGTGTATTGTTGTGGGTGTATTGTTGTGCTAAGGAGAAGAGATTATCTGTTCCTGTGGTTGATGGGTGTCGTTAGCTGGTCTTTTGTGTGTAGTGATCCCTTGTCCTTGTGGCTGGGTAGAGTTTGTTGACCTTTTGCACGTTGTATTTTTGAGAGCTGGGAGCCAGGTTTTGTTGAGCTTCATACTTTCCTCTTTTTTGTTGAAACTGTGCTGGTGCTTGCGGATTTCAATGGCTTCCCTGTGCAGACTGACGTAATGATTGCTGGTTTTCAATTTCCCACAATGCCCCAAGGCCACAATGGGGCACCCTGGGGAATTAAAATGGCTACCAGATTCAGTCCCCCCCCCCGGTCCTGTTCAGAGCATCCGTCCTTGAGGTGCTGTAGAAAAAAAGGAGAGCCCAAGGTAGAGACAGGGGTGGTGGTCTGGTGGCTGTTTTGGAAGGAAGAGACCCCGAATTCTGACTCCGATCGGCCATCGGAAATGATCCGGCCGAGGAGAGTAAAGGGTTTGGCCCTTCTGATTTGCACAGGTGTAGATCCACAGCAGTGGAGACAGAGATCTGCCTTTTTTAAAAAAGGAAGGGAAGGAGGAGGTGGGTGCCCGAGCATTTGGCATCTCTTTCAAGGGGGGGGCTCACCTTTTCTTTTTCCGTTCCAGGTGAAGGAGCTGGGGGCCGTGATTTACAACTGCAGCTGCCTAGCGACGGATCTCCACCGGATCTTTGCCATCTACCGCCTCCTGGGAGAAGAAGGGGCTTCCGTCCCCGCGTCCTGGCCAGGTGGCCTTGCCGCCAAGTCCAGCCTAAGACACCCCCTGAAGCTGCAGCTCAATGGCACCGATTCGGAGGTGTACCTCTCTGTAAGCACAGCGGCCGATGCCCCGGTTTCCGGAGTGGCCCAAGGCTCTGAGATTCATCTGTTTGGGAAGAAGAGAAAATAAGGAGGGTTTTTTGTTTGCTTGATTACCAGGGTGGCTGTTTTGTTTCATGATAGATATGGTCCGAGTAGGTACCAGGGAAGGCAAATGACACGTTAAGGCCTGCCATGCTGGTCTTTAAACTTCCCTGAATACCACTGCACTCTCCCTTGCTATTCTTTAAACCGTGATTGTATTATGGGGTGCGGGAAAGACAAGATTCCTCAATAAGCACTGTTCTGGACTCTGAAATATAAAAATATTGTGCCGTCAAGTTAGTTCTGGCTTATGGCAAACCTTTCTGAGTTTTTCTAGATACAGAATACTCAGAAGTGCTTGACCCTTCCCTTCCTCTAGGGGGAGCCCTGGGACTGTGCAGCTTGCCCAGGGCTACCCAGGCTGGCTCTACTCACAGCAGGCACTGTGGGGGTGGAATCAAACTCCCAACTTCTGGCACCGCAGCCAGAGACCTCGACCACTGAGCTATCCAGCCAAGTGACTCTTAATTGTCACAGAATTGTTTTCTCGGTACCGCTACGGCCTTCTAAAAACAGAAGCTAAAAATGAGCTTAGCATTGAATTGAATTGAACTGGACTGAAGAAGGCAATGATCAGGGATTTTTAAAAATCCTTTCCAACAGGCTAGTTTGTTTAGAATTTCGGAAGCCCAATGTTTGGGAAGAAATCCGGGCGTGAGGATATGAAAATCGTCCCGGCTCCAAAAAATAAAAAATAAAAATGGAAAACTTACTTTTGGGGACTGTCATTCTCAGAAAAAGTAACTTTCCCCCGATTTCTGACATGCTCAGATCCATTTTGATTCATTGATGGGGATCCCCTTAACCCTGTCTGATCTGTGATCCTCTGTTTGCAGAGTTCCCCACCAGCTTTGTGCTCAAAGGGACGAACGTCTGATCTCACGGCCATCCTCAGCACCATCAAGGATGCGGAAGACTTTGTCTACATCGCCGTGATGGAATACGAACCCCAGTGCTCGTTCTGCAAGCCCAAGAGGTAAGGGCGTGCAGGAATACCTTCTTCTTCTGTTTCCCACCAAAGGCTATTCGAGGCACACTGCTCTTGTATATGGAGGTTCCACTTAGCAGCTGTGTTCTGAACAGTTGGGGTTGTGAAAATAGTTACAGGTTATGCAACCGTAACGCCTTCCTCGCCTCCCAATGAGTGGGCCAACGGAGTGCATGCACGGCTGAACGGATGTTGCTCATGTAAACGCACGCCTCCATGTATCAGCAGAAGGAACCCTCTCTTTGACAGTCATGCATGAAAGCGTCTTTTAATGCTGCCCATTTTCAGGATTTTGGGGTGCCAAAGAAATAGCAGTGATTTACCTAGTGAGCAAGGGGACCCGATTCTGTATTTTGAAACACAGGCGCGCTGAGCCTTGAGAGTTTCCTTAAACACATCATGAGAGTCTCCACAAACGTATCCCAAGGAGAAGTCAAAAGTAGACAGCGGTTGTTGACTCCGGTCGACTCATGGTCTAGCCGTGTTCATGGCTACCAGGAGGAGGTCTTTTGTAAAGCTAAGGGCTCTGAATGGCCTGTTCAAGACCACAACGTTTCCTTTGCATTCCAAGAGGGGTAACTCACAAAAACATATGTTGAGAAGCAGCTACTACATCATAAAGACAGTGAGGACTGCTGCTAAATTCAGAGGGATTGGGGAAGGTTGTATGGAGTCTTAGAAGCTATTTTTACTCCTCTTAAGGAGAATATCCTGATGCATCAATCTTGCAAACGCCGGCTGTGCTACCACCGTGAGACTAGATCTAGTTAGCAGCATCCTTATCTCAGGCTGTGGCTTAGCAGGATTTCCGCTACCAGCAGCTTCCGCGGATGGAAATAAACAGATGCCTCCCGCTTAGGATAGTGCGGTGTTATTTGGATTGCCCTCACAGGTTCTGGCCCGTCATCGACGATGCTCTGCGGGCGGCCGCTTGCGAGCGAGGGGTGAACGTGCGTCTTCTCCTAAGCTGCTGGCGTCACTCAAGGCCTTCCATGTTCGTCTTCCTGGAGTCGCTCAGCGTTCTGAGCCGCGAGCCGCTGGGTTGCCCTATTGAGGTGGTGAGTCCGGGAAGCAGAGGGTTTATTTATTTTATTAATTTAGTGTATTTTTTAAAACTCCGTTTTTCTCCTTAAGAAGGACCCCAAGGCATCATACATGATTGAAAGACGGTATGTCAAGCGAAAAACAGGAAGTACTAAAAAATACTAAAAACGATTAAACAAACACCACACTAAAAGCAACATCAGAAATACATCCAAAGCAGCAAGGCACAACCATCCATTTAAAAACCCCGCTCAGGCAGGGAGTCCTTAAGGGAAAGCCTGCCTGAAGAGAAAGGCCTTGGCCTGCTTGCGGAAGAAGAGCCAAGATGGGGCCAGCCTGGTTTCCAGTGGCAGGGAGTTCCAGAGTCTGGGAGGAGGCACCGAGAAGGCCTGTGTTCTCCACCAAGGACACCTTCACCACCCATTTGCAGGCCAAGGTTTCTGGGAGTTGTAGTTCAAGAACACCTGGTTTCCCTGAAGTTAGGAACCGCTAGCTTAGTCCACGATTCCAATCAATAGCTTCCAAACCAATGGTCGTCTTGACCCTTCAGTTTCAAAGGACACCCGACAGGCTCCCACATTTCCCGCTGGTTCTGAACTCGAAGGTGACCTTGCTTTGCTTTGTTTCCTTTCCAGAAGCTCTTTGTGGTCCCTTCTGGAGGGGAACAGCCGCCGATCCCTTACGCTCACGTCAGTCACAATAAATACATGGTGACCGACCGGCTGGCCTACATCGGTACGTAGACCCTCGAAGGCGTGTTATCCCGCACTTGGAGAAATTGTATTGTTTTTACAACTCCCATGATCCCCGTGCCACCATGAACCATGTTGATCGGGAGGCTTCTGGGAATTGTAGTCCGTATTTCTCTGCTAGATAGCTCAGTGGCTGAAGTCTTTGGCTGGGAGATCGATTCCTCAACGGTGCCTTCTTTGACGGGGGCTGGACCCGATCATATATAAAGCTCCTTTCAGCGCTGCAGTTCTGGGATATAAGTTAGTTTGGTGAGGGTTTTTTTTTTCTTTCAAGCTTTGGGTTTATCTTTCTCCCTCCAGGGATAGCAACGGTTTCCCTTGCAGGGCTGGCTGAATGGGAAAGAGCAGGAGAGTCTAGAAAGATGCTGTTTGTCCTAAGTGGTGAAGCAGGAATCTCATTTCTAAAAATGGTGGTGGTGGGGGAATCCTGTATCTTTGCCCAAAAAAATACATTTAATTTAGGGTACAATTTGGTGCAAATTCAGCCTCTGGCATCCGATGGGGAAAGAGTTCTTATTTTGGACCAGTTGTGGCCAGCCTGGTGCGAGCTACTTCCTGGTGATCACAAGACATACGGGCAATACCGATACAGCCCGATTTGTGCTCCAGCTGGCCATTTTTGGGCCCGGACGGAGCTAATTTTGGGGGGGACCCGGCGAGGCTGGAATGGTTCCCGCAGGGACAGAAGGGTCTCTCTAAGGCAGAAGCCCCCCCCCCCAGCCACGCAACCCTTTCTGGTGGGATCAGACGCCTCGCCTCCCGACGAGTGGGCCAACGGAGTGCATGCATGGTTGAACGGATGTTGCTCATGTAAACGCACGCCTCCATGTATCAGCAGAAGGAACCCTCTCTTTGACAGTCATGCATGAAAGCGTCTTTTAATGCTGCCCATTTTCAGGATTTTGGGGTGCCAAAGAAATAGCAGTGATTTACCTAGTGAGCAAGGGGACCCGATTCTGTATTTTGAAACACAGGCGCACTGAGCCTTGAGAGTTTCCTTAAACACATCATGAGAGTCTCCATAAGCGTATCCCAAGGGGAAGTCAAAAGTCGACAGCAGTTGTTGATCCCGGTCGACTCATGGTCTAGCCGTGTTCGTGGCTACCAGGAGGAGGTCTTTTGTAAAGCTAAGGGCTCTGAATGGCCTGTTCAAGACCACAACGTTTCCTTTGCATTCCAAGAGGGGTAACTCACAAAAACATATATGTTGAGAAGCAGTTACTACATCATAAAGACAGTGAGGACTGCTGCTAAATTCAGAGGGATTGGGGAAGGTTGTATGGAGTCTTAGAAGCTATTCTTGCTCCTCTTAAGGAGAACATCCTGATGCATCGATCTTGCAAACGCCAGCTGTGCTACCGCTATGAGACTAGATCTAGTTAGCAGAATCCTTATCTCAGGTTGTGGCTTAGCAGGATTTCCGCTACCAGCAGCTTCCGTGGATGGAAATAAAAGGGTTGGATTGCCCTCACAGGTTCTGGCCCGTCATCGACGATGCCTTGCGCGCGGCCGCTTGCGAGCGAGGGGTGAACGTGCGTCTTCTCCTAAGCTGCTGGCGTCACTCAAGGCCTTCCATGTTTGTCTTCCTGGAGTCGCTCAGCGTCCTGAGCCGCGAGCCGCTGGGTTGCCCTATTGAGGTGGTGAGTCCGGGAAGCAGAGGGTTTATTTATTTTATTAATTTAGTGTATTTTTTAAAACTCCGTTTTTCTCCTTAAGAAGGACCCCAAGGCATCATACATGATTGAAAGACGGTATGTCAAGCGAAAAACAGGAAGTACTAAAAAATACTAAAAACGATTAAACAAACACCACACTAAAAGCAACATCAGAAACACATCCAAAGTAGCAACGCACATCCATCCATTAAAAAACCCCACTCAGGCAGGGAGACACTAAGGGAAAGCCTGCCTGAAGAGAAAGGTCTTGGCCTGCTTGCGGAAGGAGAGCCAAGATGGGGCCAGCCTGGTTTCAAGTGGCAGGGGGTTCCAGAGTCTGAGAGCAGGTGCCAAGAAGGCCCTCTCCCGTGTTCTCCACCAAGGGCACCTTCACCACCCGTTTGCAGGCCAAGGTTTCTGGGAGTTGTAGTTCAAGAACACCTGGTTTCCCTGAAGTTAGGAACCGCTAGCTTAGTCCACGATTCCAATCAATAGCTTCCGGCCAGCCTGGCCTCCAGTGGCAGGGAGTTCCAGAGTCTGGGAGGAGGCACCGAGAAGGCCTGTGTTCTCCACCAAGGACACCTTCACCACCCATTTGCAGGCCAAGGTTTCTGGGAGTTGTAGTTCAAGAACACCTGGTTTCCCTGAAGTTAGGAACCGCTAGCTTAGTCCACGATTCCAATCAATAGCTTCCAAACCAATGGTCGTCTTGACCCTTCAGTTTCAAAGGACACCCGACAGGATCCCACATTTCCCGCTGGTTCTGAACTCGAAGGTGACCTTGCTTTGCTTTGTTTCCTTTCCAGAAGCTCTTTGTGGTCCCTTCTGGAGGGGAACAGCCGCCGATCCCTTACGCTCACGTCAGTCACAATAAATACATGGTGACCGACCGGCTGGCCTACATCGGTACGTAGACCCTCGAAGGCGTGTTATCCCGCACTTGGAGAAATTGTATTGTTTTTACAACTCCCATGATCCCCGTGCCACCATGAACCACGCCGATCGGGAGGCTTCTGGGAATTGTAGTCCGTATTTCTCTGCTAGATAGCTCAGTGGCTGAAGTCTTTGGCTGGGAGATCGATTCCTCAACGGTGCCTTCTTTGACGGGGGCTGGACCCGATCATATATAAAGCTCCTTTCAGCGCTGCAGTTCTGGGATATAAGTTAGTTTGGTGGGGGTTTTTTTTTTCTTTCAAGCTTTGGGTTTATCTTTCTCCCTCCAGGGATAGCAACGGTTTCCCTTGCAGGGCTGGCTGAATGGGAAAGAGCAGCAGAGTCTAGAAAGATGCTGTTTGTCCTAAGTGCTGAAGCAGGAATCTCATTTCTAAAAATGGTGGTGGTGGGATCCTGTATCTTTGCCCCAAATACACATTTAATTTAGGGTACAATTTGGTGCAAATTCAGCCTCTGGCATCCGATGGGGAAAGAGTTCTTATTTTGGACCAGTTGTGGCCAGCCTGGTGCGAGCTACTTCCTGGTGATCACAAGACGTACGGGCAATACCGATACAGCCTGATTTGTGCTCAAGCTCACCATTTTTGGTCCACAACGGAGCTAATTTTAGGGAGAGCAGGCAAAGCTGGAATGGTTCCCGCACAGACAGAAGGGTCTCTTTAAGGCAGAAGCCCCCCCCCCCGACCACGCTACCCTTTCTGGTGGGATCAGACACAATCATTTCTCACTCTCTCATCGTCTTCTATGTGGTGCTCATCAGAACGCTGAAAAAAAAAGCAGTAAATTGTTGGTGTACAGCTTGAGCAGAGCATTACGTGCAGACAACAAAGGAGGGGCGAGCTACTGAGTTTCAGGACTCATTGTCACGTCAGAGTTAAATCACACCAGCGACTTGACTCGACCAGGCCTTGGTGGGTTTTCCCCCCCAATGACTCGAACTCGTGACTCAGAACTCTTTTTATCTGGGGGATGGAAAAAAACTTGTTTTTAATAGGGATTCGAACTCAAAGCTTGGGACTTGATACCAAAGACTCAGACTCGGACACAAAGGCTCGTGAACTGTGACACCGGCTCTTTGTGTAACCCACGAATCCCGATGCAAAACGGGGGGAAAAGGGGGCCAGAAAACTCTTAATCCACAATTGTGTGTCTGTTTGTGTTTTCTTTCCATTTATAGGTACCTCCAACTGGTCTGAAGACTATTTCGTCAACACCACCGGCGTCGGACTGGTCGTCAGCCAGCGGGACTCGGCCAGCGCGCATCCCCCAGGGTTCACCCTACGCCAGCAGTTGGAGGAAGTCTTCCTCCGAGACTGGACCTCTGCCCACGCGAAGCCACTCAGCCGTCACCGGGAATGTGCTAAAGCGTGAACAGGGTGTGTGTGTGTGTGCTCCGTCCAGAGACTCGAACCCTTGAATCTGGAAGCACTTTTTTGGAAACCCTTGGCCGCTCTTGGCGTCCTTCCAGACTGCCCGGATGTGTCCAGAAAGAGGATCACGAATCCGTTTTTAACCGCCTTAAACTGTCGCCAGATCTGTTTGTAGAAAAGAGTCACAGGAGAGAAAAAAACAAATTGAAATCACTGGGAGCTGTTTGACCACTGGCTCTGGATACTGGGGTATCTTCAGGACAAAAGCAGGGGTGGGTTGTCAACCTCTCTAAAGGGACTTGGAGATGGGTGTTTCAAATTTAATCCTTCTATTTTATTGGTAAAATAATTTTGTGTCCGGATTGCGATTACAGCAGGACCCCCTTTATCTGCGGGTTCAGTATCCACTGATTCATAGATCCATGGCCTGAAAATATTAAAAGAAAAATCCAAAACTGGCCACTAGAGGGAGCCAGAGACCACGCTATGCATAGCATTCACTATTAGAACAGGGTTTATTATAATCCACCTTTTTCAGCATCCGTTGGGGAGGACATGGAACCGATCCGGCACAGATATGTGGATCCTACTGTACTGCCATGTCCAGCTGACTGGCAGGATGTGACTCGAGCCTCATTTTTCCTTGTGCCATCTTGGCTTGTTCAGAATATGTCTCCATAAAAAAAAGCTCAGAGCCATTCCTTCAGAGCTAACTGGGAAGGAGCCAGGATTAAAATACCCACGCTAATCTCTAGCCTGTTGTAGCAAAAGCCACATAAAGCCTTTTGGGCGCCTTAAAAACCGCTTATACTCAGCAGTAGCTTTCATAGACTGTCATCCACTTTCCCGGATGGGTTTGAAAAATGAGCAACAGTTTGTGAAAGCCGTGTGCAAAATGAAATTTGTTCTGTCTTTAAGATGCTGTAGAACTTTTTATTGTTTTGTTCTGGAAGAGGCGAGAAAACATCAGCCAGCCTCGCCCTTTCTCCTGGGTGGGATTACAGAGTCCATAGCTGCCTGTGGGATTATGGGCGTTGGAATCCTAAACACAGATGAAGCTGGCGTGGATGTCTGTCGCTTGCTGTATACTTTTGGGCAGTATTTTCTTTTTGCTATGAGTGCCATTAGGAAAAGAAAAAAAAACAGTTAAATTGCCATGTTTGATGCATTGGAAGAATACCAGACAAAGATCATGAGGATTTCACGATATCCGATCAATGACCAATCCATACTCCGCAGCTTAGCGCACAGTCTTTTGAGTTCAACAGAAGTCTTCTTTCATATGGGTTTTTAAGGGAGAATGGAGAATCACGTTGCCGGATCCCCAATGAAAGTCTTGGGCTGGAGTTTCTGACAAAAAGCAGATGAAGTCAGACGTAAGCCCCCTGTCCAGAAAAAAAAAAGCTCAATTTTCTTGGGAGGAGGCTCCTCGCCTGGTTTCTAACGGTCCAAAAGCCAGATCAGAGGAGGTGTTAACAAAAGTTTCAAAAAGTGCCGGATGACAGGATAAAAAAGTAATACCGTATTTTTCCGTGTATAAGACTATACTTTTGTCTAAAATCTTTAGACTAAAAATTGAGGGTCGTCTTATACACGGAAGTAAGCTGAGGAGAGAACAAAAACAAGTGGAGGGGGAAAGCAGGGATCAAAGCGATCCTGCAGCGCTTTGATCCCTTTCCCCCTACACTTGCTAAGCCCCACTTAGATTTCTTAATTTTGGATTAGAAAACTGGGAGGGCGTCTTATACACAGAAAAATACGGTAGCTCAACCACTTTGTTAATGTAAAAATTGACCCTTTATTTTCTCTCTCTATGCTTTCCCCCTTCCCTTTCGAGCTTCACACTTCGCAGTCCGGCCCTTCATGGATCCCTACCTCTCTCTTCTTCCGCCACCGTAGTTTACAACCCATTTTCAACATAGCTTCCTTCCTCCGGGCCTTTGTTTGTTCACGAAACCATGTGTGTGTGTGGTTTTACAATATATTTAGTGCAGCTCTATACAGGTATACCTTGCCTTTTTTTTTCTTTCGAACGCTATAGATCATTGCTAAGGGACTGAAAATCACAGAGGAAAAAAAAATATCTGGTATACTTAATTTCAAAGATCACTAGCCATTCCAATTACTCAGGGAGCATCTTTTAAAATTGTGAGTCATTTGCCTTAACCTATACTATATGCTTTAAGCCACGGGACAACACTTGTTGCATCGGGGTTCGGCGTGGATTTGTGGGGTTGCTTCCTCACAAGCAGAGTTTATTTTTGATATTGCAGCCGTTTTTAATAAACCAGTGCCAATTCTTAATATGGGTGTGTTTTTTCGTTTTCCTTCGGCCGACGTACTTACAGGTGGGTCTAACAGAGCTGCAACTATGTTGACAAAATTTTTTTTTGTAGGAATCCCTACAGGATTAGGATGGTCTGATTTACATTTTTAATGGCACCACATGATATAAAAGCAAAGAGGAATCAGTTCGGAATTTCCTTTCCAAATATGTAGCTAAAAAAAAAAAAAAAAAAAAACTTGCAGGAAACCCTACTGGATTAGGATGGTCTGATTTGCATTTTTAATGGCACCACATGATGTAAAAGCAAAGAGGAATCAGTCCGGAATTTCCTTTCCAAATCTGTAGTTTTCCCCTCCACCACTGGGGTTTCTACTCCCCCCACGCCATGGATCCATTCACATGGGTTCAAACAGTGTGGTCGCTTGAATCAATGCAGAAAAGTGTGTGCTGCGGTTGGCATGATGGCAAAGCAGCTGGGGTTGAGGGCAGAGATTCAGCTTGAGAGGGCTGGACAGGGCTGTTGCACACGGGCACCCAGAAACCAAAAAAGAAAAGGGAAAAAATAGAGGAGGAAGTGGATTAAATAGCCTTGTTTACATCTTATTGAGTAGTTCTCCAGCTATGCCTCTTGCAGAGCAACAGGATATTGATGTTAACAATCTGCAAACAAGGCGGTTTAGCCCATTTCCTCCTCTTTGTGTGGCCCGTTCACATGAACAGACCCCAGGGGAAAACCTGCATTTCCTGGTGCAATTTCACAGCAAGTTGATTTGCATTTCTCACGCTGTGTCATCACAGCCTGACACTCTCAGAAATCCCAAAGGTGTACTGTGAAGAGAAGGCAAGCTAGAGGCAAATGGTGGCTTGGAAGGACCGAGGTCTGAAGGTGGGGTAGAAGCAGAACTGGTCCACCATTAGACTGAGCGAGGCAGCTGCTTCAAGTGGCATATTCTGAGGGGGTAGCAATGAGAGCCGACTCGCTGCCTCTATTTCTTCCACTGCCACTTCAGATGTTGTCAACATCTGGCCCAGCTGGTTTCCCTCTGCGACTTGTGTTTTGCCTCAGGCAGCAAAATGTCTCGGGTCAACCTCGGGAGTGGGAAAAGAAGGGGGAAAGGGTTGGAGAGACGAATCATGGGGGAAGGAGGGTCTGGGGGGAAAAATAGAAGGGGGTACAATTTTTATAAATGGAGCATTGTTTTGGTCTCGTTCACCCAACTCTTGTTGAATTCCGCTTGGGATGGGTGAGATGCTAACGAGATTTCTCCTTGTAAATATAAATGGAGCATTGTTTTGGTCTCGTTCACCCAACTCTTGTTGAATTCTGCTTGGGACGGGTGAGATGCTAACGAGGAGATTTCTCCTTGTAACTTTTGTGACATAATCGTATGTGTTAGAATTTGGGTGTTCCATAAATGTATTAAAATAGCCAGTTACACAGTGAGCTCAATGTATTAGATTGGAAACAGCTATTTCTTACAAAGCGTGATGATACCTCAGCATTCTTGCAGATTCAAATAAGCCCGGTAAAACAATTAGTAATAGAAGTTATCTCATCCTTTGAGAATAGAGGCTAGGTTCACAGATAAATGCTATCCATCACTCTGGACCAAAGGAGATGTTACGATTTGGAAAAAAATTATTGAGAAGAAGCGAATTCAAAGGACATGATCTGAGAAAGAAAGGTTGGAAAGAAAAACCAGTTTTAATTACTTATGGTGCTTCATGTAACCACCTATAAAAGCTGTCCTGTGGACTGCGGAATTTCAGGCTTCTATGCTGACACTTCTTAGGTTGTGTATGTATTGATTTTTTGTGGCATTAATGAATGCTTTCCTCACACCTCAGGTCTTAATACGACAATTTCTAAGGAAAAAAAAATGCTCCACACAGGATTAATTTGAATGCATCAGATCTGTTTCTCATTCCCCTGCCTAGATTTCGGAAGCATAAAATAATAAAAGCATTAAATAAGCCTTCGAGAATACATAAAATAAAATAAAAACTATTGTTGTCATCGTCGTCACACAATAACTCCGAGCAATGCAACATTTCACAATCCAAAATTTGGGGATCTACTTTTGCATTTTGCCACCTCGGGCACCATGTGTGCCTTAAAAACTCTAGTGGCCGATGGGTTTTGTAATCCACGGCCAGACTGAGAGAGTTAACCCTAAGCAAAATGGCCGACAGTCCCACCCGCCATGACACTATAGGCACTGCCCCAGGTCCTCACCGCGCATGCGTAGCATTCGTTTACCGTTCCTTCCCGGAGAAGCGCGGCACAGCCAATCAGGAGGCTGGGTTGCAACTTGTAGAACGTGGAGGGTTCGAGCGTTCCTTCCGGTCCAGCTGCAAAGCTGGGACAATGTTTTACCACGTGAGTAGCGCGTTCGTTTGAATGCACCCCGTATAGACGCGTGTCGGGGAGCTTTCGGACTTCCTCTTGTTTTGAGGGCTTCTTTCCCTGCTGAAAGTGGGCCATGCAAGAAGTGGGAGCTTATATACTGGAGAGAGATCACACACACACACCCCAGACCCTCATCTTACTATTAGAATTTAGGGCATTTTTTGAGTGTGAATGGCTCCTAAAAGCGTGTTTTGGAAGGATCTAAAAATGTACACCACTATTTGGTTTACGGGATTCCTTACCGCAAGATCAGGGGGTAATTTAAGCCACTGGCACTGGGGATTTTTTTGAAAGTACATGTAAAGCTTTTTAATGGAGTCATTCGGATGGATAGATGTTTTAGATCTTAGAACTGCGGAGCTGGAATCTGGCACTGGGGATTTTTTTGAAAGTACATATAAAGCTTTTTAATGGAGTCATTCAGATGGATAGATGTCTTAGATCTGCAGAGCTGGAAGGGACCCTGTGGATCATCTAGTCCAGCCCCTGCCAAAGAGGCCCAGGGGAGGGGTGGAATCGAACTCCCAACCTCTGGCTTCACAGCCAGTGACCTGAACCACTAAGCTCATATATATCAATAGAGTGAGCATCAGGGCAAATAAAAAAGAAGGATCTTTGTTTTTACAGATAAGGCAGAGGCCAGTGTATTTTGGTGTGGGATTGCTGCTCTTGTTCAGGCCCTGCTTGGGAGTTTTTAGGCGGATTTGGGAACTGGTGAATTTAACACTGAGCTAAGTGCATGAAGGGCTTGCTTTATTATTATTATTTTTTACTTCCCGCAAGGTTTGGACTCAGGCATTCAATAGCTCGTGAGTTGAAGGTTTAAATATTCTTTATCATATTTATATCCTCACTCACGAGTGATTGAAATTTAATTAATTAGTTAAGAGATTATTTTGGTAGCATAAAACAGCACTTTAGACAAGTTCATTCCATCCTCAGAGGACGACGCCCTTGGTAATTTAAAACATCATAAAATGGCCAACAAAAGCAGAAATATGATTTGTGACAAATATGGTTCCAGTAGCAAAGCAAGGCCAGTCCTTTGCCATTCTGTGGCATGGCCATCTTACTCTCTCTTGCACGGAAATATTACTTATTTGTTAAAATAATTGTATCCAGACTTGTATTGAGAAGTCTGAAACCCCCCAAACAACAACGTTAAGAATTTGAAAAAATTTAAACCCATGTACGCTGTATGAGAACTTCATAATGCAGTTCATTATATTGCCATATCCAACTTTAGTGATCCTAGGAGCCTCATAAATCTTAGTAAAAAAAATTCAAACATTTAAACTCATCCCTTAGTCAAGCAGACGTTGGAACTCCCTCCCACTGGAGGCCCCATCTTTCCTGTTTTTCTGCAACCAGGCAAAGACCTTTCTCTCCAGGCAAGCTTTCCCTGAGTGACTGGGTGTCTGAGTGGGATTTTTTAAAATTGGTGGTTGTGTCTTATTGCTTTGAATGTGGTTTTGGTGTTGATTTTGTTTACCTTTTTTATGTGAGGTGTGTATTTGATGTTTTAAATATCTTTACACTTACAGTGGTGCCTCGCTAGACAGTTACCCCGCATGACTTTTTTGCTAGACATTGACTTTTTACGATTGCTATAGCGATTTGCAAAACAGTGATTCCTATGGGGCAATTTCGCTGGACAATGTTTGGTCCCTGCTTCGCAAACCAATTTTCGCTAGACAACAGTCTTGACAGCTCCCTCCGTGCTCGCAAAACGAGTGTTTTGGGGGCCTAAGCTTCGCAAGACAGCGATTTAAACAGCTAATCGGCGGTTCGCAAAGCGGCTTTCCTATGGCCAATCCTTGCTAGACAATGACAATTCTTCCCCATTGGAACACATTAAACAGGTTTCAATGCATTCCAGTGGGGAAATCCTTTTCGCTAGACAATGATTTCGCTAAACAGTGATTTCAGTGGAACGGATTCTCATCGTTTAGCGAGGCACCAATGTACTTGTTTTGAACTTAATTTTTTTTTTGTAATGTTTCAACGTTGGGACCTCTTTACGGAGAAAGGTGAGGTTTAAATATTTACATAACTAAATATTGACAACATAACAGTTTGCTTCTTGGTTCTGGTGCTGAGATTCTTATTCTCCTGGTGCCTTCTGATTCTGCCTCCAGATTTCTCTGGAACACGAAATCCTGCTACATCCACGTTACTTTGGGCCAAATCTCCTCAACACGGTGAAGCAAAAGCTGTTCACTGAAGTGGAAGGGACCTGCACCGGCAAGTAAGAAAGGAAGGATGATGTAAATCAGTAACAGGCTGGATAAGGACCAATAAAACCACGTTAAGTCCAGAGAAGAGACTGAACTTACGATGTTGGCTGTCTTGAGTCCTTGTTAAGAAGTGGGGAGGAAAAATATTTTTAGAAAATTAATGAATGAATGAATAAGGCAGTGATGAATGTTTGATCTTCCTGCTGAGGCAGAGTGTATAGTCTTTATTTTAAATAAATAAATGAGTAATGAATATCTCATCTTCTCATGGGGGGGAGGAATGTACAGTCTCTGGATTAGAAAGCAGCTTTTTTTCTGAGTTAGATCCGTGTGATGGTTGTGATCCCAAAGGTAGCTTGACCGCCATTAATTGCTGCATTTCATTGAATGGGATGCTGCCTTTGAAAAATGTTTGGAAAATTAGGTGGGCCTGTAACGATGCAACGAGTGTCTTGATCAGAATTGGGTGTATGCACCGTGCGTTACAATTTTGAAAGAGCCTAAGGTGTCCGTTAACCTCTTTCTGAGTTCAGATCAAATGGGTTAATCTCGATGTACGATGGCCTTTACACCTTAGGACCAGCATAGCTCGGATTGCGTGTTGAAAGAACCTAAGGTGTCCGTTAACCTCTTTCTGAGTTCAGATCAAATGGGTTAATCTTGATGTACGATGGCCTTTACAGCTTAGGACCAGCTTGGATTGCGTGTTCCCGCATGGATTTTCTTGGCGATGGCTCCTTCGAATTCTCCTTTCATCTCTTGGAAAAGTTGGCTTTCGGGGAAGGGATTTTAGCTCTTAAAATCATTCTGGGGGATTCTGGGAGAATCTTGCCCGAAACCTGGAGGACTGCTGGCGTGCCTCTGTATACGGTAGCTTCTTAGGTTACTGTTTAAATTAGACTGTGATTCAGATCCATGAGGACTGGAAACTTATTTTTTAGGAAAGGATAATAGGTCCATGGCCATAAGTTCTATTTCTTAACATACTCAGGTGTGGCTGAGGATGACCCCCTTCTACCGCCACCCCATGGAGTGGAAATTATGTTATCTTTAGATTCTGGTAGACTATTACCTCTTCATTCCTCTTGGTAGGCTATACTGTCTAAAACCAGTGGAGATTGGCAGTCCCACAGATCAGCTTGAGGAGGGTTGAAATTTAAGCGTCGTACCCCTTTCCCATAGCTTCAAATAACACCTGCCCAAAACTGCTACGTGTGACCTCCTCAAAACTTTGATTTCCAGGTATGGCTTTGTAATCGCGGTGACCACCATTGACAACATCGGCGCAGGTGTGATTCAGCCCGGGCGTGGCTTTGTCCTTTACCCTGTCAAATACAAAGCCATTGTCTTCAGACCATTCAAGGGGGAGGTGGTGGACGCCGTCGTAACCCAGGTGAACAAGGTAAGAGGAACGTAACGGAGGAAATTTGGATGGAAGGAACGCCTTTAATTTTTTGCTTCAAGTCCCTTTTGCCTGTAAGTCCCTTTTTTTTTTTTGCTTCTAGTCCCTTTTTCTGCCTGTAAGTCAGAATGCTTTGAACTTTTTAGAAGTTGAATTTAAACAAAGATTCAATAATATAACAACAAATAGAACACTACTAACATATCAATTTTTAAAAAATGATTTTTAAAAAACCCTCAGTTATACATTTTTGACTCTGCTCCCCAGCACCCTCAGGAATAATTTCCATATTTATTTTACATGATATTTTATGACGCCTCGTTTCTCTCCAGAAATACAATGGTTTGTCTCCAAGGATATTCCCTTCGTCTTTCTCAGTTATACCAGATAAACATTCCATATTTCTTTAAAATTAGTAATATTGAATATTCCTGTCCTAATCTTGGTTCCACAGGTTAATATATTGTAAACGAAGAGAGATTCCATCTTTCTTTATGCCATTCCTCCACATTATGTTGGCTACTGTTTTTCCAGTTCTTTGCAAACATCTTGAAAGATCTGCAAGAAAAAAAATCTCTCCAATTTTCTCTCCTTCCCCTTCCCAGGTTGGGCTCTTCACCGAAATTGGACCCATGTCTTGCTTCATTTCCCGGCATGTGAGTTCGAAGGCCAGAGTCCGGCTGTTTCTGTCCTTGGGCCTCAGCCTGGCTCTTGATGATGGAATGGTGGGGGGGCTCTCGAGAAAATCAGTATCCACCACCACGTGGATCGTCTGCTATATGGATCCTCTGCCATTTTAATTTCCCATAATGCCCCTAGCATAATACTTCCCCCAAGGCATTGTGGGAAGTGAAGAATAGACTGCCCGGGGGCCAGCAAAGAGCCAGAGTAACCTAGTGAAATGCATTGTTTATGCCTGTCTCATCCCGTTTTCCCATTGTCTTGGCAGTCCATTCCTTCCGAGATGGAGTTTGACCCCAACTCGAACCCACCGTGCTACAAGACCGTGGATGAGGTGCGTAGCGGCTTGGCTCTCTAAACAGGACGGGGTGTTTGTGGGAAGCATGCCATGTGGGCATGAGAGATCAGTAAGGAATAAATTGGAGACACATTTATTTGTGAGTTAGACCACGTGCTAAGATCATTTGCCGTCTTCGTTGATGTTACTTGCCATTGAGTTGCTTCGGACGTATATGGACTCTCTTGACGAGTAACCTCGGAAAGATCCTGTTATTAACTACCCCGCTCAGCTCTTGCAAGCTCAAGGCTGGGGCTTCCTTTACAGAGTCAAACTGTCTCGTATTGGGCCCTCCTCTCTTCCTGCTGCTTTCAGCTTTTCCTAGCTTTTTTGTTTTCCTTATTCATAGAAGTAGGTGGCAGGGAGGAATTCAGGGACTACAGCCCCCAGAAGTCTTTAGGAAATCCTCCCAGCCAGATTTCTGGTGGGTTAAAAAAATGAGTTCTTTCAAGTGCCATTGCTTCAAGCTGAAAAACAATGTTTTCTCTGAGATATGGTAAAAAAACAGAAGGTGGCTGGGCAATGCTGAATTTTATGGAGACTGCAAGGCATTATGGGTTTGGTAGTCTGCTTGCCACATAAGGGTTCCTCTTGTAGGGATGTGATTCTGCTGATGGGACAGACCTCTCAGGAAACTACCAGGCCTATAATGCCTTGCATTTCAATAGAACGTAACCCTGAGGAGCCACTTCCCACCTCTTCATCGAGTCTGAGAGAAAAACTATCATTGCTCAGCTAAATCACAAATACCTGAAAGGAGAGGGTTTGGCTGCTAAGCCTCCAGAAGTCCGGCTAGGGGGGAATTCTGAAACTCCCATGCCTGGGGAGAAGTATGATCTGCAACAAGTTACTTCCAGAAATGTGGGGGCGTCTGGCTTGTGCTGCCCTCCCTGTTGTGGGTGGGCGAGACTGTTTCGACTGTAGTTTTTGTAACCCAAATATCGGGGGGGGGGGGGGAAAGGGGATATGGTGTTCACTCCGTTGATTCTGTGCGGTCTGTCTCTTCCTTAACCAGGATATTGTGATCCAGCAAGATGACGAAATCCGGCTGAAGATTGTGGGGACGCGAGTGGACAAGAATGACATCGTGAGTTGCTGGAGGGAAGGGGGAAATGATGGGACGGTAGCGCGCGGCTTTGTGGGTTTGAACTGCCACTCCCACCACCCTTGACAGTGTTCCCAAGAACGGTTGGTGCCGTGCAGCCTCTGGATGTATTTATTATTTATTTATTTTATTTATTAGACTTATATCCCGCCCTTCCAGACAATGTCTACTCAGGGCGCCTTACAATAAAACATATCATAAAACAGTTAAAACAATTTGAGTCCATGGTATTAGTATTGTTCAAGATGGGCAATGCGAGAGAAAAAAGCTAAGAAATAAAAGTTAAGTATTGACAGGAGGGAAGGCCTGCCTAAAGAGACCAGTCTTTAATTGGCTCTTAAAAACACCCAGCGAGATTTTTTGGGGAAAAAAGAAAGTGGTCAGATTTCTACTTCCTGTTTTGATGTGCGGGGAGCTGTGCGTTATTTATTTATACAGTGGTGCCTTGCTTAACGAGGATAATCCGTTCCACCGAAATTGCTGTAGAGCGAAATCCTCGTTAAGTGAAATAAAAAATCCCATTGAAACACATTGAAAACCCGTTCATTGCGTTCCAGTGGGCTCAAAAGCTCACCGTCCAGCGAAGATCCTCCATAGGAGCGGCCATTTTCGGTGCCTGTATAGCAAGGAATCCACTGAAAAACACAGCGGGGAGCCATTTTACATAGCGGGCGGCCATTTTGAAGCCGCCGATCAGCTGTTTTAAAAACGTCGTAATGCGAAGAATCGGTTCCTGAAGCAGGAACTGATCGTCGGGAAGCGAATTTTGCCCATTAAAACATTGTTTTGCATCGCAAAAGTGATTGCAAAACAGTCGTCGTATAGCGGTTTCGATGTTTAACGAGGTAATAGTTAAGCGAGGCACTATTGCATTTATTTAATTTTTATACCTCCCATCTGGCTACCAAGGTGATTCCCCACTCCAGCAGAAAACACAGCTCCTGGAGGCCTCCAAGAACAGAATATTTAACTAATTTTTTTGGGGGGGAGGCTTGGGTGCCCCCAGTAACAGCTGCCTTGGAGGGTACACTGAAGGCCCATCTCCGTTATACCGAGTTCCTGTTAACCTGTATCCTTCCCTGTTTTCTCAGTTTGCCATCGGCTCCCTCATGGATGACTACCTCGGTAAGTTTCTCTCTTCGACGCCTCGCTACCGGTTGGAGGTTGCCCTCCTGAGTGAAATAATTAGAGAAGGCAAAAACAATATGCTAAACCCTGGGAGAGGGTTTAAAACAAGAGTACTATTTATATGCACATACAAGAGTAGGCGTTACCTTTATAGACCACTAAAAATCGTCATGCAATACGCAAGCTTTCATGGATCAAGACCACTTCGTCAGGCTTGTACCAGTGTGAAGAACTTAAAAGTCGTAAGTTCTGCGCCAGATGGATTTTGCCCGACACGTCTTTCCTAGATGTCAGGAAAGAGGCAGGCTGCAGGGGCGCTGTTGTATTAAAGTTACAGCCGAGGCAGCTGAGGATTCGATCTCGTACCCCAGGCGTTCAAACAAAGAGGCACGGGGGAGTTGGTTCATTCCATTCCTTTATGCGCGTTCAGATCGGAGTGGCCGGCCTCCAGAGGTTTGGGTCTGAAAAAGGGGCTCCAGTCCCCCACCCCCCTCCAAACCATGTCCTAGAAAAATGAGGGCTTTTTGAAGGGCCCTCTTATACCTTCTGAACAAAAAACCTATGACCTATGTGGGTGCTAAGCTGATATCAGACCAAGGGGGGTAAATGCCCCTTCTGTGGGCAAAAATTGAGTTTTGCTGCCCATTTGCCCTCCAAAACATTGGAAATTTGAGAGGGGGTTCTGGGGGGGGAGTGCCTGCTGGGGTTTTAGGACCGTTTCTGTCCCTGCTTTCCGCCTTCACGATGTCCTCCTCTGCTTTTTCTCCAGGTCTGGTCAGCTGAAGGACGTTGTTCCCCGAAATTCCCCCGGCTGGAGGTGAGCTTTGGCTCTCCGTAAACAAACCCTGTTTGGGATTTTATTTCAGCTGTATTTACAGCATCCGTGGGGCCCAGAAATGTGTGGCTCCTCCTTCATTAAAATGTTCTTCTTGCGTTCTCTCCTTTGCACCGCTGGGACCTTGCGCTTGGTTACGAGTTGTTTATATCCCCGCCTTTCCTTGTGTGAACACGTGTGAAACTTAATAAAAACATAGTAAGTGAGCGTCAAAATCCAGTAAGTTACGTTTGATGGTGTTAAAAAGAAAAGTCAATAAAGCAGCCGTTTGAGGAAACAACTTGTCTATGGGTTTTTTTGGTATTTTTTTTAAAACCACAACACTCAACTAGAATTTCAGATCTTTGTTGTTACATGCTGTCATGTTGCCTCTGATTTATATGAATGAGCGCTCTCCAAAAGGCCCCGTCCTGAACTGTCCTGCTCCCCTCTTGCAAAGTCAAGCCTCGTGGCTTCTTTTACATAGTCGGTCCATCTCGTATTGGGTCCTCCTCCTTTCCTGCTGCCTTCCACTTTCCTCTCTTCCCCTCGGGCTTTCGCCCCCACAAACATCAGAAACCAAAGGATCTTTCCCCTTTTATACATCAGCTTGAAATTATAGCCCTAATGCATTTAATATACGGCCCTCAAATAGGAGACACATCACATATTAAATGGATAAGAATGGATTGTCTTTTATTAGAGCAGATTTCAACATACAGTACAACGAGGTAGAGGAAAAACAGTGCGTAAACAGGTTTCACAATTCCGATTTTACTGGCAATTAAAGTGCCTACTGGAGACAGGTCCAGGAAAGCTCACATTAAATTATAATAGTTTTTAAGGTGCCGCCTGTTTTTGTTTCTGGATTTTGCCTGCTGTACAACGTCCCTGCGAGGGAGGTCAGATGGACAGAGAGGCAGAGCTGAGAGGACTCACTGGGTATACCCACTCTCATGAAGGTGGGATCTGCTCAGAAAACCACAGAAATATTTCAGATTTTCATCTATTTTTTGAACCAGCCATATTTCCCCCCCAAAAGGGGGAAGGTGCACCGTTCCTGGAGGTACTGCAATACCAGGCCGATGCGTGGAGTGGACGGAGCAAGCCCCTCTTCCATCTCCCAGTTCCAAAAATCCATTTAATATATAGTCCTCAAATAGAGGACGTATCAGATATTAAACTGATAAGAACAGATACTACACTTGATCTTAGCCAAAAGGCCGAGAAGCGATACCGAAAAGGGGGAAAAACGAGGTTGGTTTATTGCGCCGACGGACTTCCAGGAGCCCGTGAGCAAGGCTAGCCTCCGGCGCACCCTACACCGCATCTGAATCCGTACCAACTTGAGATGCCCCAGAATAAATCCCAATTATGTTTCCCTGCCTGTCTTTTAGGGACGTGGTCTCCCAAGTGGGAGCCTCGAATGGGAAAAACTGTGGATTTTCTCATCTTGGTTGGTTTCTGGCTCAATCTGGTGGCTCGGACGGCCATAGGTTTGATATTTGCATGCGCCTCCCTCTTATTCCCGTCATGCTTTGCAGATGTGCTTACTCCTTGGCAGCTGGCAGAGGTCGCTGGTGTGCCATCTTCTGCAAAAATGCACAGCTCCGTGGTAGCACAGTGTTTATGAGCATGCGCGGCTGTGCATGAAAGATCAGGATGTTGGAACACAATTTTCTATCTATGGAATACTGCAGAACATCTCTAGCGCATTCTCTTAGAAATTATTCATTCCTTAAGCCTCATGGCTGATTATCTTGCCTGAATTGGAGAGTAAAACGTGCTACCTCCTGCTAATTTTGTCTAAATACCTTAAATAGCATGCTTTGATTTAGCAAAGAGAGTTCTGCCTGCTTCGTGCATACTTCAATTCCCAGAAGTCTCCTCCAGAAAGGGAAAATGCCCAGGGATTCTGAGAGTTGTTGTTTAACCGCATTTCGTCGTTTCCGACTCTTCGTGCCCCTGTGGACCAGAGCACGCCAGGCCCTCCTATCTTCCACTGCCTCCCGGAGTTCTGTCAAATTCATATTAGTGATAATATTTTATTACGCTCCCGGAGTTGTGTCAAATTAATATTGGTAATAATATTTTATTACAATCAACAGACCAGATGTGCATTTAGTGACTCTGCTTTTGGAGGGGCTGAGAATCCGTTCCGGATTTTAGGCTGCAATTTACAGCAGCTTTCTCAGGTGTTGAACCCGATCCCTGAAATACGCTCAGCCCTTTGAAGAAACTGCTGCAAATACAGGCTAAATCTGGGTTCAACCTGTCCTTGAAATTGAAGCGTTTATTTTGGGGAAAGTGGGTTCCGGAGTCCAGCCAAACAAATATGCTGGTGTTAAATCCATTGCTGTAAATTTCAGCAAGCTTCCATCTCCTTAAAGCATCATCATCAATATCTGTGGTCACACAGCTAGGAAGCCTACACAGAGTTAAATCCATTGCTGTAAATTTCAGCAAGCTGCCGTCTCCTTAAAGCAGCAGCATTGGTATCCGTGGTCACATACCTAGGAAGCCTACACCGTGTGTGTTATGTGCTGTTAAGTTGGAACCGACTTGCAACTCTTAATTGGCCTTTCCAGGTAAGTGTGAGATATTAAGGAATTTTAATAGTTCTACACACTTCCAAGGAGTAAATCCATTGCTGTAAATTTCAGCAAGCTGCCGTCTCCTTAAAGCAGCAGCATTGGTATCCGTGGTCACATACCTAGGAAGCCTACACCGTGTGTGTTATGTGCTGTTAAGTTGGAACCGACTTGCAACTCTTAATTGGCCTTTCCAGGTAAGTGTGAGATATTAAGGAATTTTAATAGTTCTACACACTTCCAAGGAGTTTGAAATCTCCGGAGTCATAATTTGTCACTGTTCTCTATACACCGAGCATCTAGTTCCAATTTATGGTTGAGGTTTTAGACAAGAGGGGTTTACGCTGTTGTATTTGATTTCTGATCGAACGGCACCCAGGCGTTTTAATGGCTGTGAGAATTCGAACCCGGATCTCCCAAGCCTGTCTTCTAGCCACTTCTTTCTGAGCTCCAACAGTCCTCCATAGAGAAGGGAATAAGCTGTGCACGGACCTACAGAGGCCTCAACTTGACAAATCCTGGCTCAACCATGTGGGTGAAGGCAATTACAGCCATTTTTCAAATCTGGTCCTGTGGCTTGCAGCTATTTGGCCGGGACTGCCCCCCCCACAACAGCAGGCCTTCGCTTCTGGTCCAGGGGCTCATCCTGACAGCCCCTGTAGCCATCTCTCTCCCACCCCTCCAACCAGTGTCCAAAAATGCTGGCAAATTGCATCCACAAGGACCAGGTCTTTTGTAAAGCTAACGGCTCTTAATGGCCCATTCAAGTGAATTTCTGAAATATCTAGAGCTGGAAGGGGCCCTAGGAGTCCAGCTGACATCAAGGAGGCCCAGTGGGGGAATTCATCCCCCAACCTCTGTAGCCAGAGACCCAAACCCACTGACCTATCCAGCCAATGCTGTTACTTAAAAAAAAAGGCTTTTAATCTGTAACTCTATAGGTCAGCTGGAGACGGTAAACCTTATCATTTTGTCCCACTCCAGGTCCCATCAGCCAGTGGTGATGTTTGAAAGTTTGCAGCCCATTATTGGTTAGGGCCATAGTAGCCTCATAATGGGCCTATCCACCTATGTGAGAAAGCATTGACTCTCACACTAGCTCTCAAACGTTGTACTCTGTAAGGCGTATGGGAATTGTTGTCCAAGGATAGTTGCATCTCCAAGTTCGGGAAGCAGTTAGCGAGGGTGCCGAAATGGACAGCTGGCTGCCACACGGGAGGGACGAGGAAAACATGGAAAGAAATATGAATTTAAAAACCACCGCCAGGTCAGTGGTTTAGGCAAAGCATTTAAAGTATTTTCACCCTGCCTTTCTCCCTTAAAAAAAACCCAAGGCAGCTTAGACAACTGAAAAATTTAAAAGCTGAAAACAGCAAATGATTCAAATATTTAAGAATGAAATAAACATTACTGTACAAAGGTTAGGTAAAAGCAGCATTAAAACTAAAAGCATTACCTTTATTAGACCATTTAAAATTTAAAGCCCCCACAACGCTAGCTTTCAACCAGATTTTAATCAAAATATTGTCAGAAGGGGAAGCATATGAAGTCCCAAAAAAACCACAGCGGATGTCCAATGCTGATTTTTCTTAAAAGCCAGCTCCGAAATGCAGGCTGCAAACAGAAAAGGTTCGAATTTTACCCCATTGCTGTTGCTTCGATTATCTTTGGTAACTTACGTCAGTGGTTTAGGCAAAGTCAGAGGCTGGGCCTTCAAATCCCCTCTTTGCATCCTGACATGGGCTGGACCTGATCTATTCTAGAGCATCCCTTCCAGCTCTACATTTCTAAGATGATGATTATCATCATCCATTTCCCCCATTGCCTTCTTTTGAAACTCAAGGTTCCTGTTTGACCAGGGAATGAGGATACCGAGAGAAAAATGTGGAAAACCCCCATCAGGATGGGGATAAAATCTAGCCCACTAACTAGGTGAAACCAAATTAAGAGAACAAATAAAGAGAAATATATAGCGGTTTTATTTTGCAAACTGCCTCAAGGAGGCTTCTGCCACGAATGGTGACACAGGAATATTTCGAGGAAAATTAAAAGACGGTCCGAGGAAGGGCGACGGTCTTTAAGATTCCAGGCTGGGCGTATCTGGTGGAAAACCCTGCAAAAGAGAGAAAGAAATGAAATGTAAGCATGTAGGTTGCATTGCAAAGAGGTGGCATTAAAGGTGAAAAAACTATCTTGCAACCACAGAGCCCCCTCCCAAGAGGATCTCCCACCCCCCACAGCAAGAAACTCCTCTTACTAGTCTTCCGATTTGTGCCATTTTGGACTACAACCCCCAGCATTCTGCAAAGCTGCTTAGGGAATTCTGGAAACTGTAGTCCAACACACATAGACAACCTGCTCACCGTTACCACCTTTGGCTCAGCTAATAGAAAATTGAATTCGGCAACACATGGAATACCACACCTCCCCCCTTTCAAAATTTTTATAGCTGGTCTTCAGTATCCACGGATTCATTTATCCACTGCCTGAAATTGTGGAATAAAAACCATCCAGGGTGTAGTTACCAAAGCTAGCCACTAGAGGGCGCCAGAGACAAAGCAATGTATAACATTCGACATTTCCGCGGTTTCCGGTATACGCGGTAGGGGGGCTTGGAACCGGCTCAACAGATCGCATTGACTCAATGGGTTTACGAACCCTGGCTTTACACGGGGCTTTGTCCCAGTGGTTGAGGATAGAACCAGCGGATGGCAAAGCCACTGGCACCGAAGACAGAACACTGGGTGGGCATCCCTTTGCCTCCGGACATTACAGAGCCGGGCACGGTGAGACCCGGACCTGCCAAGAAAAGGAGGCCCCCGGTTCGAATCCTGCAACATCTCCCCCCCCCAAACCAGTCCCGATCTCAGCCACGGGGCTTTGGGAAAATTGAAGATCCCAGCGCCTGGCTGCAGCCAAAAATCTCCACCCCCCAAGACAAAATCCGATTGCAAAGGGTGCATTTAACACGATTGGAAAAAAAAAACCCATTTTTTAAAAAAAATCGTGTTAAATGCACCCTTTGCATTCGGTTTTTGTCTTGATGGCGTTGCAATTCAAGAGGCTTCCCCCAAAAATGCAAGTATCTTCCCACACCCAAATTGCTTTTTAAAAAAAATACTTAAGATCCTTACCTACAAGTGAAACAAACCACTTTCCAAAAGAAAGAAGGAGGCGCACCGCGCGCCTATTTATACTCCATCCAGACGCCTCTTGCGCGCCCCCGCGAGGCAGCTCTAAAAACAACACACACGAAAGGGGCGTGGAGCTCCGAAGACACGCCCGCCTCCCGTTCTGATTGGTCACTTTCCCTTTGGGTCGACTAATCAGATTCCGGCAGGCGCCTGGCTGGTGAGAGCGGGGCGGGCGGGGCCAGTGGAAAGTCACGTGACACAACCTTCTAACCCGGAAATGAAATCCTGCGGTTAACAGAACTGGGTGGTTAGGTCGCCACGTGGGTGGCAGCATGGGGGCCCCTACGGGGAAAATCAATCGGCCGCGGACGGTAATTTATTTAACATCGATGATTATCCATTTTCAGAATTGATAGGGGGGCTTTTAGACCCGGTTTCCGCATCCTAGCCTGTGGGATCACAATGCCCATCACTCTGGCATTGGCTGAGGATGATGAGAACTGTGGTAGGAGTCCTCGGATTTTGGTCGAGGCTGAGTGGGCGTGGGTTGTACTTTCTAGAGGCGCCTGTAATACATTGATTTTTTTTTTTACTGTCATCCTCCATGGATTGCTGTCTCTTATTTAAAAGCATTAAGTCAAAATATTTATTTTTATGGAGTCCTATTTGTTTTTTCTCTGTTTTATTTATAGGGCCGCCTTTCTCCCGATAAGGGGCCCAAGGCGGTTTGCAATAGTAAAAAAAAAAGATTAATGTTCAATATTCAAGCCACAGGTTTATAAACACCGTGTCCATATTGGCAGAAGTTCAGATCACAGCTAAAATTTAGATGGAAACTGGTGGTATTCTTAATAATAGTAACGAACTTCCAGGTTGGTATGACGAAGGTAACCCCAGCAGCTAAAGTAATCAGCTAATGATCTGTCAGCTAATATCCAGCTGTTGAGAGGTTTTTGTTCAGATAGTGTTGAAGCAGAGTTTTGCTTATAAGAGTTTGATCTTCTGAAGCCAGAGGTTTTGTGGAAAAAATTTGATTTGTTCCAGATGTTCTTCCTCTGTGACTCCCATCAGCTCTATCCAGTAATGAGAGAAAATGAGATTTCTAGGCTCAGCAGTATTTGAACGGCCACACTTTTCTTGTAAACAGCAAAATCAAGGTGTAACACCTCTTTGTGTACGGTGTTACACAGTGAGAGCACAGTTTGCTTTTGAGGATGCATCTGAGAACGTGTTGCCTGTGTGTACATTTCAGGAGCTGCAGAAAAAGCTTTTCAAAAGGCGACGCACCCTGAGTAAGCAGAAGAGGAAGAAGCACCGAATCGTGGGGGCCGTGGTGGACGAGGGGCTGATCACCGTTCACCACCTCAAGAAGCGATCGTGAGTTATGCTTAAGCCTCGTTCCTCTGCCAAATCCGAGATGAGCCATAGAAGAGCGTGTGAAGAAATCAGAATATGCTTATTGGCAAAATTGTTTTCGTGCTTTATATTGAACTGCCGGGGAGCTCAGTGGTTGAGGTCTCTGGCTGCAGAGCCTAAGGTTCGGAGTTCGAGTCCCCCGCTATGCCTCCAGGGAGAAGAGCCAGCCTGGGTGACCTTGGGCAAGCTGCACAGTCCCACAGCGCCCCTAGAGGAAGGATAGGGTAAAGCACTTCTGAGGATTCTCTACGAAAACCCTGAAAAAGGGTCAACATAAGTCAGAATTGACTGCTTTATATTGAACTGCCGGGGAGCTCAGCGGTTGAGGTGTCTGGCTGCAGAGCCTAAGGTTCGGAGTTCGAGTCCCTGCTATGCCTCCAGGGAGAAGAGCCAGCCTGGGTGGCCTTGGGCAAGCTGCACAGTCCCACAGCGCCCCTAGAGGAAGGATAGGGTAAAGCACTTCTGAGGATTCTCTACCTGGAAAACCCTGAAAAAGGGTCAACATAAGTCAGAATTGACTTGATGACACATGATGATGATGATGATGATATAGAATATGATGATGATGATGATGATGATTATATAGAACTGTTGCATAGCTCAGTGGTTTTGCTATCTGGCTGCTCAGCCAGAGGTTGGGAGTTTGAATCCCAACTCAAAGACCCATATGGTCCCTTCCAGCTCTGCTGTTCTAAGATTATGGGCTAGATCAGTGATTTAGGTCTCTGTCTCCAGAGCCCGAGGTTGGGAGTTCAGTTCCCCACGGCGCCCAAAAATGTTCAGCCTTCAACCTTGCAGCAAGGAAGGAAAGCATAACAGTTCATGGGGGGGGTGGTACAAGTTCTGGAGCAACGGAGCGGAAGTTTGGTTTATACAAGAAAGAGGGAGTGCTTTTTTTACAGTAGAGACTGGCTTGTATTTTTGTTGTGTTCTATGAAAGAGTCATGTCTGAATTATCTTCTTGGGCTTTCTCTCCAGATCCAGCGCTCGAGCCAACATCACCCTCTCCGGAAAGAAGAGGAGGAAACTGTTGAAACAGATCCGCCATGCCACGAAAGAGAAGATGGAGATGCAGGGTAAAGGGGTTTCTTTAATTTAGGAATCTGACATAGCTTTATGACACATGACTATTACTAATAATAAAGAAAAGCCCGCTTTATAGAGAAAGTTTGAGATGCCCTCAAGTCCCTTGGGTAAGAAAGGAAAGTAGCTTTCAGGTATTAATAGAAGCAAGATCATGGGTTTTAAATCTCTCTCTTTGCAGTTGATGCTTCTCCCGGACCGAGTAAAACAGCTCAGAGCAGAAAAGAGAAGAAGAAGAAGAAAGAAACCATAAGCTGTCCAGATGTAGAAATGGTGGAAGCAGGAACTGTACCTGAGCCAGAGAGCTGAGATCTATCTGTCAAACCCTGAAACCTGGCAGTCCGTGACCTGTTTTGCTGCCTGGATTTGGCAGGATTTTGGGACTGTTTGTGGAGGAGCTGAGCACGAAGGTTGCAGAATGAGAAGTATCAGAGGGTTTGGCCCAGTAAACTTAAGACGTGTCTAAATTCCTTTTAAAACACACAGATTAGAGAGGTCTCCAGCACAATCTAGATATCTGTCTGGTTTCCGGTTTCCTTGACAAACAGGTCTGAATTCCTCATATCCGGAAGCCAGGCCAGCTCTTTAAAGCTTGAAAGGGCCTCCCAGAGTCAGCCCGGTGAGCTTTCTGCCTGTGCAACGTGGACTTTGTGAATGTTCGATGTGGGGAGCAGCAGCAGCTCAGCCAGCTTTCCTACATAATAAACATGTGCTGAGAACAATTGTGTGGATTAATAATTTACCAACTGAGATCTCTGTGTTCGGCTTTGCGACCCCCCCCCCCCTTGTTGGGGGTCGCAAAGCAGAACACAGAGTAGATGTCGCCATAAACCTTGACTACTGTACTTTGGAAAGTGGGAGAAAGGCTAACCGAGAAAATGTGTAAAGTGATCCTTCCCAAATAACCAAGCAGTTGCTCTTTTATACCTTTAAGTGGAATTTTCCAAAGTACAGACCGAGGATCCAGAACAAAAACTACTGAAAGCTAGAACAGGAAAGACAACTTCATCTATTCAGGAAATATTTTATCCGCCACAACATCTCTTTTTGACCTAATCCAGCAACGCAACTTCCTGGATTCACTCTCGTGCCAAAATATAGCATCCTTTCTACATTTTGTCTTGCGCCAGGGTGGGAAGGGTGCAATAAATGGGCTGCATACAGAGCAGGTAATCTACCTGCATAGATTCCTTGCCAGTCAAAAGCTTTATTTCGGCATCTTCAAAAGTGCATCATGGTACAAGCTAACAGTCCCAAGATGCATATTTGCCTCAAGGACTTCTGAATCCCAAATGCTTTCTCTCCTTCCTGGAAGGAGAAGCATTTATCAATGCAGTCTGGCACTGAGGGTGGATGTGTACCCGTGAGAACACGAGCTACTGAACCGCCCAGAGAGGGCTCGTGGGTGGTCACGTGCTTTTGACGTCGTCGCCCCTACATCCAAGCGCAAGGATTTCCAATGTGAAATTGATAGAAGTGCTGAGTATTGGGGAAGGTGCCACTTGAGGTCCTGGAGAGCTGCTGCCAGCCAGAGCAGGCTCTACTGAACCAGACAATAAGGGATGGAGAGCCTTGAGATCCGGTGATTAAACCGCAAGTACTGCAGTCAAGATTCTTGCTCACAACGTGAGTTCGATCCCGACCATAGTCAGCTCAAGGTTTGTTACTCCCAAAGCTCGATACAGTGCTGCCTTGCTTGACAACGACAATCCGTTCCAGCAA